GATCGGAAGAGCCCCACTACAGAGAGGAGGAGAGCAGGATCAGAGAGAACGAGGGGGAGGAAGAAAGGAGGAGGAGAGTGATATACAGGGTGGAAGAATACAGGATCCAGATGTGTAACAAGACGAGATGAGGAGGGTGTGAAAGTATGTGGCCTCTCTCATGACTCCGGGTCCGGAGTCTGCGTGTGTGTGTAGGTGTTGTTGGCGCGTGTGTGTGAATGTTGGTGTGTGTGAGTGAATGCTGTCGCCGCTGGTCAGGTTTGACAGTGATGGTCACGCTAAAATGGATGCTGGGAGATTTCAATAAAATCTTAAACCCTATAACCCTATACAAAAAAAACTAACTAACCAAGTTTCATCAATTTATCATTTAGTCTACAGCATAAAAGGCAAAGGCCACAGATTGTCCATCCCATTTTCCCAGAATCGAAGGCGACATCTTTTTGGATTTTGGACCGTTGGATCCAACATCCAAAAAGATGTCGCCTTCGATCCAAAGACATTCAGTTTACAGTGATATAAAACAGAAAAGCAGCAGATATTCATCATGTTGAGGCTTCACTTGGAGATCAGTGATTATGAGGATCAACTAACAGCTCTCACTGTATCCAGTGCTGAAAACTTGATCAGTGGAGTTTGACTTGCAGTATTGTGTATCAGTGTGGTAGAAATTCCAGTTGAAAGCGAGAGCCACTTCATGCCTGAGTGTTTTCAGCAGCATAATTAGTCTGTTTTAATGGCATGTTGAGTTTTCTTGGGAAGAAAATGTGGTAAATGGTCAAACTGCACTTATTGCAATATGTGTACTATTTGCTTACAGTATTTGCAGTGGGTGACATTCCAGAGAGAGGCTAAATATCCCCAAAAGGTTATCTGCCTGTCGCCACCACTTTACAGATATCCGGGGAGGGGGCCAACTTCTCTTCATTCATCATTTGTCACGCTTGACGGGCCTCTCCTCCAAACAGGCATAATGTGTTCACATGCTCGAATCTGACCGACCACATAACTTCTTTATGGGACAATCACAGGCGGTCAGTGAAAAGTACACCCTGTTCTAGAAGCCATAACTATAAATCACCAACCGTTTGGTCATTAATTCAGACATTTCCTCTCCTCTTTAGCCCTCCAACTGCAACTGGTTTGCTCTGACCAGACCACAAACTGGCTCAGGTCAAATCTCAAGGTCCCGTCCAATCATATGTTTGGGCCAGTGTAGCATATTCAGGATGATATAGACATGAGTGAATGGCAGACAAGGGTTCATTAGAGGGTTTGGATTTTGGTTTCTGACCAGTGTAAGGCATGAACTAGATATGCGTTCTATTAGACATGAAACAGACACATGTACACTGGAGGATCGGGCCGACCACGAATCAGCTTTCAGTGACTGTTTTCCACATACAGCGCCTACATCTCCAATCCCCCACCATTATAATGTCACCAATAATCACCATGACTCTCAGAGATCAACATTTCCTCCTGTTCTTCTCAGTAATTGTAAAACCTGAAAGGTCAAAATGAAGTGGCGGCCGTAGTGGCGGCAGCACAGCAGGTTCAGACACGCTCGCACCAGCCCAGGGGTCCCACGCCTCCCAGGCCCTCTCATTAAAGCTAAAAGAGGATCTCTCTGGCACAGGCCCCTCTTTGTCCACGGCCTGGATGCCATGACTGTTGTGGGAAAAAAAAGAATGAAACGAATGAAGGCTGCTTGGTCACTTGGCTGGTTAGTTGGATGCCTCAGGGGCTTTTTGGAATTGCTGACCAAGCTACGAGGTGGTAGATGGTTTCAAGGTTTCTTGCTGGAAACAGAGCACTAATTGTTTTTATCCCCATCAAAGAGCCGTTATAAATGATCGATCCCTTTTTGTCATTAGCACTAATGCAGCCACCGGTCTTTAAACTGTTATTTCAGCTGCCCTTTTTCTTTACATTATTAAAGGTGGCGTCTGCCAATCAGGCTTTAAGGCATTCCCTGTCCACCATCTCCCTTTTAGTCATTTAATCCTTTTAATCATTCTACTAGATGATTGTTTGTGGTCCAGATGAACCCTTTATCTTACGTCTGAACTCGTGTTTGCAGGCTCACGGCCACCCGGCTCACAGCGACGGGGTCCAGTATGTCCCTGAGGTTTTGGACCAGCAGAACCAGGTTCAGAGTCTCTTGCCTGAGCCCCACAGCCACCAGAGGAGGTGGTCGCACCCCCAGCACCGCTCGCTCGGTCTTCTTCCGCAGCCTGAGCCCGAGGAGGAGACTAAACCCTTCATCCTGGATCTCAAGAACTTTCCAGACCTGGCCAATGCTGACATCAACTCGCAGAATCCCAACATACAGGTGAGTCGGGAGAGGGGATTCAACCATCACAGTATCTGGCAGTCTTCTTACAGACAGAGATCTTCATTTTTAAACTGAGTTAGGAATACGAAAAAAAGTTGATTTTAGCCGCGGTATCCATACAATGACCAGTAGATGGTGAATTATGGGTTCAACTAAAACCATTCATGCAAGGACAACTGGGGCATTTTGTCTTTTATTTAGTAAAATGATTTATTTCCTTAATGTGTAACAAAATCAACAGTCTTCCAGTCTAATGTCAGAGACCTGGCTGCGTCTTTCTTTGCTACTATTTAATTAAAATGTAATAAAAGAGAATGAGCTCTGTGATGGTAAGTGTTAGCCATTAAGTCCTCATCATCTACTTCTAAAGTTGCTCTGTTTAACTTATCTCGTGGCAGTTATACTCTCAACTCTGGCCCGTGTAATCAGGATGTGGTTAGAGCGACATAATGATGCCAGCCTAAGTCTACATCAAGCACAGAGACGGATGACATTTTTGATGAGTTTTCATGTAGCATATACACCAGATGTACCATACTCTGACTGAAAGACTCTACACTAGAGACGCTCACAAAAAGAGTTGTTGTAAACATTGTGAAAGATGTTTTTCCTTGCTCCTCTCTCGGGCCCTTGGAAGTAATGTAGCATCTAGGATGAGTCATATCGAGGTAATGAGAGGTAGTTATCCATAATAAATGCTCACATTCTCTCCCTGAGAGCATCGTTGGGTTGGCTGAATGCTCATGCTCACGTCTGGCTGGCTGACTTAGATCCGGAGAAAACCTTCTCTGCACATTTGAGATAGTTGATTTCTTGAGAAGAGCGCTAAAGAGACACCAGAGTACTGGCCTGAGTTCTTTTTTGATGACATGTTACGGCAAAAGCAGTTCAATCACTAGCTGTATATCATTGTCTGCCAATCACACTACAGTATGGACTCTTTGTTTGCTAGTTAGGACTTATAGGAGAGAGCTGTTGGTCTTCACATCAGTGACACAGATGAATATGTTCCTGGCTTCCATCAGGGTGACAGAGACCTTCTCTTTTTCAATGTAGGTAACCATTGAAGTGGTGGACGACCCCCAGATGGAGGTAGAGATGGACCTGGCCAAGGAAAAAGACTGGCTACCATCCTCTTCCTCCTCCCCCTCCTCCACAGTAGATTGGCTCGGAGGCAAGAAGCTTTTCTGGCCCCTCTTCTGGAGTTACACCGACGCCGATTCCAGCGAGGACAGCAGCAGCAGCAGCAGCAGGTCAGGCGTGGAGGAAACTGGCGAGGAAGAGGAGGAGGAAGATTACTCCCTGGATTACGGCAGCGAGGAGCCCTTACCCAGCGGAGTGGGCGGAGACTGGGATACGCGTTGGAACGAAGGCTGGGATCCAATGCAGAGCTACTATGGTAAGGTCTGCCAAGTGGTACACTCGCTGCTGCACAGCCACACAGCTCCTTCATATCCCACTGCATCAAAGCGATCATGGCTTTAAAAAAATACCAAAATGGATCCTGTGGGTTTTAAAGAGAGAGAGAAAGATAATGGGAATATCTGTGAGGAGAGACAGAGAGAGAGAGAGAGAGAGAGAGGCCGAGGGAGAACAATGGAGAGAGTGGCTCAGGAAGGCTGCATGATAACTGTCTAACTGCGATGCCAGCATGCGAGGCAGCATGAGCACTCGACCATCAGGACATTGTGGGTTAGGGGCACTTTGAAGTGGACACTGGTGTTGCTGGTCCAGAGGCCTGCCTTTTGAAGATGGGTCCGATGCACTCGCTAATGGCAGCGTGAGGCCGCCACTGTTCCCTGGGACAAAACAGCCCTCTGCTTGTGGACAATTAGAGGGCAGATTGGGAACACACAATGACAGGGGCAATTCGGCCAGCCCTTTCATCCTTCCCCAGGACCCCATGGGCCCCCCCAGACCCTGGCGGCCCTCGCTGCCCTCTGCGGCTCGGCCTTTTGAGCCCGTTCAAGAATTTCGGGGGGCTTTCGGGGCTGTGCATAACTTTTGCAGCCCGTTTCCCCCTCTTAATTCTGCCTTCCTCTGGTGGGAAAAATTGTTGTGTTTCAGCTCGCACAGACCTCTTATTCAGTGGTAAAAACAGTGAATAATGAGAGAGAAAGAGAAAGGTGTAGATGGTGAATTAAAGAGAGAGAGGCTGGAACGGAGCCATAGAAAAGGAAAGAAAGAAAAAGAAAATTCAGATGGGCTGGGCAGTGGGTAGGCCTACTGTAGATCAGAGTGCAGTTATGGCCTTACCACAGCCTTCTTTCTGCAGACAATTTCCCACAGATACAAATGTGTGCATGAGTGATCTGTTTGTTTTTCTAAGCGTTTCGGAGGTTGCTGTTGTAGTGTAATCTCAAAATGTAGTAACAGGTGTCTAAACAAACAAGCTCCTTTTGACTAGTAACCCTTCCCTTACCCATTATGCCAGTGTATAGAGTTGATCTGTTTGACTGCAGTGCATGTAGACGAGCCAGCAAAGGGCAACAATGCCTATTAAGTGGTCACATCTAAAGACTCGCTGAACATAAATCAAGGATGTGTGCCACAGCTCCTTCTGTAATTAAGACTCTCCTGAGACCTCATTCCCGTATGGCCACATAGCGAGTTGGCAGCGCCCACAAAGTCAAATTGGGTGCTCGCTACACCCAAGCTGGTATTTCTGCACCCACCTCGCCTTTAATCAAGAATGACTTGTTTTCAGTGTTATTAACACCACAAGGAAACATGGTGCGGAGGCGGACAGCCACAGCACAGCTTCTCTCTCTCTAATTTTACTGAAGCATTCTTAAAAAGAATATGGGTTTGCATGGGAAAGGTTAGACCAGGAGAAAATGGTCATTTATATGCACTGAGACATTCCAGAAACTTAGAAAAGTCATTCCTGCACAGTAAAGAGTTCACTTCAACTCTAAGATGTGAGGTGTTTGGTTGGATTTGCAGGGTTTTTCCTTGTGTTCATAATCTCACTAAAGCCTTTGAAGCTGTTACTGTAAACTGTATTCCATGCTTTCAGAATGTATTCCTCTCTTGACCTCTCTGATAGTTTTTGCAGTATGTAAGTTATATTGTGCTTTAATCTTAATTGAATCCGATGAGTTATCATAGTAGTGCAGAGTAAGTTTTGATAGAATGTGTTTGAATTAGGCTGAGTTTTTGGCACTGACTATGTTTGGATTTTGTTTTCCTTTCCACAGAGAAGGAGACCGATGAGTGGACACCCTGGTCTCCATGTTCAGTGACATGTGGACACGGTGAGAGGAAGAGGACCAAGTCTTGTGGCTACTCCTGCACTCTGACAGAAGCCTCTAAGTGTGACCTGGAGCCGTGTCCTGGTGAGATTACATGTCCATTTTAAGAAATAGAAATAACCAACCAAGGCCAGAGTACAGAGGTATTTTTATTCTGCTTTCCCAGCTGGCTTTTCATCTACAGCTCATGTACCACTCTCCTCTTTGTAGGTGACGTCAACACCGTGGTAGAGCCTTTTCCTTTTGAGATGGAGAACGGTACAGAGCCTTTTGGGACAGGTGAGGTTTTTCTAACGTTTTCCATAAAAGCTTTCATCATTTGAAAGAATTATAGCATATTTTACCCCATTAACTTAAAGTGACAGTTCTTAGTTCTACCAGTAGTGCCAACATGAACAGCTCTAACACCCAATTTCATGTGGTGGTGTTGTCCTCTTTCCAATAGATGTGGACAGCTGTGAGAAGTGGCTCAACTGCAAGAGTGAGTTCCTCCAGAGGTACCTCCACCAGGTCCTGTCTGAGCTGCCCAGCTGCCCCTGCTCCTACCCCTCTGAAGTGGCATACACTGTGGTTAGTGTCTACGACGAGACTCACGGCAGACAGTTCCGCTGGCGTGATGCCAGTGGCCCCAAGGAGCGCCTGGATATCTACAAGCCATCAGCGCGTAGCTGCATCCGTTCAGCACTTTCCGGCGACTCATCTACTCTCGCAGCGCAGCACTGTTGTTACGGCGATCGCGGGCGGCTGATCACACGGGGGAAAGGCGCAGGCACGCCGAACCTGATCAGCACTGAGTTCTCACCTGAGCTGCACTTCAAAGTGGATGTGCTGCCTTGGATCCTGTGCAAGGGAGACTGGAGTCGCTTCCATGCAGTGCGGCCACCCAACAATGGATTGAGCTGCCCTGAAAACCCCCATGAAGACGTGTTCATGAATGAACTGGAAGAGGCCAGGGAGTACTGAGGGACCGCAGCCAAAACTACCACTTCACTCAGAGTCAGAGGGCCTAATCCTAATTTGAGAGGAGACTGCCTACCTTAAAAGTCGTAAAATATTACACGTAAACCATGCATCATGCATTAACCATGCATTGACTCAGAGGAAATGCACATTTGTGATTGGGAGATTTGTGGGATTTAGGAATGATGGTGAAGTGTGGCTGTCTCAAGTTAGGATTTGGCACAGTGTCCTGATATCAGACTCGACTGAACTGAACTCAATTGCAAGAATGGAAAAAAATGCAGTGTTCTCCCGTCGCTTGCCAACCTGTTCCACATCTGGCATGACATCAAGCTCTCTCTCTTCATATTCAGTCCACTCTTCTGGGTGTGTGTAAGCATGATGTCTACCTACTGGCTTTTTGATGGTGTCCTGGAGCGCTTGTGATTGACAATAGCAACATATGGTAAACATCCTGATAATGCTTCTTGTAGGTTTTACATTAGGAAATGTACGAATGTGGGCTGTTCATACTGATGAAAAAAACACATGCATGGGAAGAGTCCAACAGATGAATATCCCCAACGATGCTGCTACAATCTAAAATCCTTCAGGTTTTACAAAGGGGTTAAGAGGAGCAAGACAACAGGAAACCAGTAGACCCAAAAGGTGCCATATGCATTCACAGTGATGTACATTTCAGCCAATCTTTTGGGACACTAAAATGTGTAATATTAGACGAATTTGGGATCTCAACCAGAGAGGTCAGCTAAAAGGATTTTAAAAGATTCTGCTGTCATTATCGAGCTCGCTAGTGAGAATTCTGAGAACAGCCCTTAGACGCAGTAATGGTACGGGAACAGCACATTTGATTTCAAAGGTTTTGTCACACAGATTGATTTCATGTGTTTCCTCACATTTTCACAGCCAGGAAGATATATGATCTGGGTGCCAAAGAGTTCAAAATCAGACTGTTGGTGCCTGTGTAAATCCAGCCTCCAAGTCTCTACGGTGCAAATGTAGGATAAAGTGAAGTTCTACAGTGAGTAGATTGTACTCATAGATGTGTCTCTACAATGTTCTCAGGGGGACTAACTGACCTTGATAAACACATTTGTTCATTTACCTCGACAGCGGAGCACTATTGGAACTAGTATAAAGTGTATTGGGGTAGATTAGTAGGAGGGTATCGGATGTGTAATCCAGATTGGAATTGATGAACAGATAATGCTTAGAGAAAGCAATTGGAACCCTTATAACTGAATAGCTGTTGTTGATGCATTGTGAGTGGTAGAAAGATGTCATTGCTGTTTAAGCTGTTGGCTTAGGGTCTTTGGGTTTATGTACAGAACTTGATTGGATAGAAAGGACATTCCTACTCATTAAATATTCCTAAGAGGTCATGTAGTTGGAGCCCTTATCCTTACTAACATAGAATACAGGGAAAGGCAACATGGAAGTAGTCGCCAATAGCAAATATCTCAGTCTTTCACTGTTATGTATAGCACAAAGGATTCAAAAGGCTGATGCACCTCACTCAAAAAACAGTTGCAGTAAACCCAAATTTACTTAGAAATACCTTAAAACTCCAGGAATTGCCAGTTCTATCCAGTCTAATTCTATGGATGTTCGCTCCAAACCTTTTTTCAGGAATTCTGCTTCCAGATATGTATATGCGATCAGGCATTTACATTTTGGAATCACCAATTTTAAAGGAAGGCACTTTATTTAAGGTATATATATATATAAATATATATATATATATGTATTAATATATATATATACACAAACGATATATCAAAATGTACTCATGTTTGCCATTTGTTGATGATAGTGTTATTGTGAAGGGAAACTTGCCAGAAATGCTGCATTGTTCTATGAAAGTGCATATATCAAGTGTTCTGTTGAGGAAAGCATGATCTTTTTGTGATTTCTGAATCTAGTATTACATATATGGTGCTGTACAGTATTTATTTGTCTGTTCTCTTTTTTTTTTTAAGTTTGCTGAAGCTTTGAAATGTCTCTATACTCAACATGGTGCACTAATCGGACTGAGAAATGAAGGCACCCATTATCAAAAGGGAAACCACTTGCCCTCATAACCTCATATCACTTCATACAGCAACATCAAGTGTCTGTGTTTCATTCTACTTTGTACTGCAGTGCTCTATGAATATGTTGTTGCAATTATGCTGAAGAAATATATAAAGACCTTGCATTCATCATCTGACTTTTTAATGCGTCGTTTCTTTTTCCACACGTTAGATACTGTGTAGTAGAGCCAAGCATAGCATTGCTGTAGAGCAAAATTCCTTTAACACAACTGACTAGTTATACTCTATATTGACTGACATACCAAACTTTTCCGTACCTCTCCTCTCCGACAAGACAGGTACAGTGCAGCAAGCATTCCTTTAAAGTTCAAACATGTCACTTCCTAGTTTGCATCAACAGGCTACATCTACACAGACCAACCAGACATGTGACAGACCATTCAGGCCTCTCTTCCAAGTACCCCAAATGTCTGAAAGTCCCTTCATACCAGGACATTAACAAAGAAAGGTTTGTTGAAAGAATAGTCTAAAGATTGATACCACTCTCATTATTGTAAGGTGGATATGAAGCCAGCCAGTTAGCTTAGCTTAGCGCAAAGACTGGAAACAAGGGAAAACAGCTATCCCTGCTGTCTAGGAACAAAACCTGTCTACCAGCACCTAAAGGCTCATTAATACACGTTTTGCAAAGCAGATATTTTAACATGAAGCAGTAGGGTAAACACAGGTGTTACCAGGGTTACCAGTTAAGGTTCTCGTCATTCAGATCAGTCAGGGTGCTACTATTGTGCATGTTGGCTCACTGGAAAGGCTCTCTTAATTTCTCTTTGTCTCTTAGTCCCTTAGTATTCGTAACACCTGTGTTTACCCTACTATTTTATGTCAAAATGGCTGCTGTGAAAAAGGTCTATTAATGTATTTTGTTGGTTTAATATGTGCAAAAAGTTTAAAAACTATGCATTGCAGTGTTACGGGGGTGTTGGGGTCCTGGCTATTTCTTGGCAAAATGCACCTTCCAGCTTTAAAGTGGATATTGTTATTTAGGCTAGCGGTTTCCCCTCGTTTCCAGTCTTTAGCATAAGCTAAGTAAAAGCTAAGCTAACTGGCTTTCGCCCATATTTACAGTGACTGACATGAGAGTGGTGTTGATCTTTCATCCAATTCTCAGGGCAAGAAAGCAAATAAGCATTGTTATAATAATAATCTGCAAATACCACTTGTGGTTGTGTGTCTGTTAGTGTCTGGCTTGATGAGAAGTAATGTGTGTAGCATGTGACTCCTACTATTCACCACCATTACCTTTCCCACATCCAACACATCCTCAACACAACGATGACAAGATTCAATTAGGCATTCCACGAGCTCTCATGCAGTCGCCGTTTGAGCCAACAGCATCAAACGCTTCCTCAGTTTACTCTGCTTTATCGTCTGTGTGTTCTCAATCTAACATTGGTTTTCTTAATAAGTTGGGTTCACGACTACGAGTCAAAAGTCGTACTAACATTTTCTGTCAGAGTTCTCAACAATTTAACCGCAGGCTTTCTAAACCATGCGTGCTCCAGGATTTACCAAAAGTGCTTCGGGCATTCTTCTGTTGATTCACAAGGGTTACACATTAGGCAATTCATGAATATGATTATTGGTTGTGGTTG